AGGGAGGGTGTGAAGGGAGGGCTAGGAATGGGGAAAAAATAAGAACCAAGATGCATTATGTAAAGGTACAATTCCCAGTGAGAAATGTAATTGTGTTGTATACCTACAATGTACCAATAAAAGAATTTAATTTAAAAAAAGTCCAACAATTCTAACACTGAGTAAATATCCAAAGGAAATGAAATCATTATCCTGAAGCAATATCTTCACTCCTATGTTCATTTTAGCACTATTTATTATAGCCAAGAAATGGAATCAACCTAAGTGTTTATCTGGTAATGAGTGGATAAAGAAAATTTGATACATATATATCATGGAATACTCTTCATCCATGAAAATAATAAAATCTTATCATTTGCAACACATGTACAGAACTGCATATCATCGTGTTAAGTAAAATAATCCAGGCACAGAAAGATAAGTACTGCATGATCTCACTCATATATGGAAGTAACTATCAAAAGAGTTGATCCCATAGAAGTTTAAAGTATAGTAGTGGTTACCAGAGACTGAGAGAGAAAGTGGGTAGCAGCAATGAGGAGAATTTGATCAATGGATACAAAGTTTAGTTAATTAGGAGTAAGAAGTTCCAGTGTGCACCATAGGAAAACTATAGATAATAACCAGGTATTGTTCATTTCAAAACACTAGAAGAAAAAATTTTGACTGTTTTCACCAGAAATAAACGCTAAATATTTGAGATAATGTTTAATTTGATTTAAATATTAAGCCTTTATACGTGTATCAAAATATCACATGGAGGCCAGGGTTGTAGTTCCATGTCAAACTCTTACCTGGCATGTAGGAGGCCCTGGGTTCTATCCCTAACACTGCAAAAACAAAACAAAGAAAACTACATTGTACCTCTACTACCTAAGTGTATACAGTTTTGTGTTTTTGTATATGTTAAAATAAATTCAAATTTAAAAATACTTGGGAAGTGTAAGAGTCAGTCAAGTCCTGGTCTGTCCACTCCATTTTCCCCTCCATTTGAAGGCTCCAAAACCATCGACATACCTTCTGTTGAAGGTCTTTACTCACTAATCTGTTCCTTAGTCCCACTGGCTGGAAACCAGAAAGATGTTACGGGAGGCTCGAGCTTTGGTTCCTTGGCAAGAGACTAAAGAGGCTATGAGTAGGCTATGCCTGGCTGCATGACTGCTTTCCCCTTAGCAGAAGCAACATCAGTACCATAAACAGCAGTGAGGAGGTGGCATCAAGTACAGTATGCCAGCATCTGCAGGTTTCCTCAGGGGACTAAGCGCATCCACTTAAGGCAGCATGATGGCTCTTCCCAAGAACTGCAAGTGTCAGTGTTCCGGAGTGAGCCATTGTTATCACTTCTTACCTCAGCATCCCTGTGAGCTCTGTGCAGCCATCACTCTCCAGAGGCTTTCCATGCTCATCCCCTGAACCTCTTACTCCCTGTGGGGATAGCATTTCCACTTGCATGCTGACTTCCAAGAGAAGACATCAAAACAAGCACTGCTCTGCCATATAGATGAGGCTGCCTGTCTCTGCTATCTACTTTCAACCTAAGTTCATTGTCCCCCAGGTGGCACAGGAGCCTGTGCCACTGGCTTTGAGGACCACCTTGGGACAGTCTGACGCGTGAGCAGACAGTAAAGTTGATGACCTAACAGTACTTTAAGGAGTTAACTGTAAGAGTAGTTAACGTACTTGAAAATGCAAGAATAAAGGGCTGGGGATTTAGCTCAGTGGTTCCACTACCTGCCTTACAAGCACAAGGACCCGAGTTCAATCCCCGGTACCAAAAAAAACACAACAACAACAAAAAAGAAAACACAAGAAAAACTACTGCTTTTAGTGAAGATTGAAAATATGTTAGCAATAGTAAAGTGATTATTAGTCCTAGGCAGAGGTCAATTTGATATGCATTCATCCCTCAGTATCCATGGGAGGTTAGTCCCAGGACTCCCCCCAGATACCAAAGTGTGTGGATGCTCGTGTGCCTTATAGAAAATGGCATAGTATTTCTGGAGAACCTACACATCCTCCTGTATAATTTAAGTCATCTCTAGATTATTTCAAGTATCTAGTACAATGTCAGTATTATGTAAACAGCTGTCATACTATATTGCTTAGGTAATAATGACAAGGAGAAAAAAGCTCAATTTGCAGTTTATTAAATTCTTGGATGAAGAACTCATGGATGCAGAGGAACGATTATAGTTTAAAACGGTAAGACACTTTTCTATCAGAAGCAATGGAGAACTCCACAGCTAATCTTATTTCTCAGCTTTTCCTTCCTGAAGTCTTGGCTCTGGGCACTGGGCCTTGGGCACCAACTGACAGGCATTGAGAACCATGGTGTAACCACCAAGGAGTCCCAAACAAGAACTGATTTCATAAGGTAGTTTAAATTCACACAGCACTAAGCTTGTACTTGCTGTGTTAATACCAAAGTAGAAATGTATTATGTACTACATTCTTGTTCAATAGAACCCTGGAATTTTTAATGTGTGAATAAAATCAGTATAATAATGATGCAGTATCAAAGCACAAATAATAGGATTTTACTGAATCCTTTTATATTGTTCATTTACCATTGATTATAATTTCTAACCTGATAATAATTATGATGGTGGTAATGATAATAATAATAATTCCTAAGAGTCAGGAATAAATCTGGCAACTGAAAATACAGGGCAGTATAGTGCAGTAAAGTCCACAAGCTCAGAGGTGACCCCATACATAATAGATGGCAATTAGCTTTAATTCACTGAGCCATAAATAAGTTTTACTTATTATCTCATTTAGATTTCGAAAAGAAGTGCTTACTGTTGTAACAACATCAGACACTTGGTTCCTCAACACATTAATTAAGACATTGGAATGTTTTACAAATTCACCAGCCACAATGATAAAATAACAAACAGTAAATGTGGAAGAAAAATATCTATTTTAGGTCTTAGGCTCCGTCTTAGACTTTATGTGGGGAGCAAAATCCTCTTACCTTTTGATATTGTTATTGGTACTTACATTTACTTTGTTTCCAGTATCTGAGAATGTTGAGATGTAGTACATATCAAGATTGACTTGCCTATAATATGCAAGTGAATTCCCTAGAATATCATGTTCTCTGACTTCATAAAGGCAGTTTCTAATAAGCAATAATTTCACATTCTGCTATTCCAGTAAATTGCGGTGACTTAAGATATGTCCCATGTGAGGGCACATTAAAATCTCTGATGACTTGTTAAGAGAGGGAGATTTAATTAAAATTAACAGGCATTGCTAGGACACAATCCCCAACACCCACAACGTAAAGGAGGAGAAGTGTAATTTAGCTCACAGTTCCAGTATCAGGAGGCTCAGTCCATGGTCAGCAGGCTCCAAGGCAGGAACATCATGATGAAAGGACATGGTGGAGCAAAAGTGCTTAGTTTGTTGTGGCAGAGAAGCAGAGCAGGGGAGCAGCCCTGGAGAGGAAGGGTGAGGGAAGAGGTAGGCCAATGCCTCCATGACACACCCAGACACACTGTCAAGATTAGCCATTAAAGTAAGTCAGGATCATCATTAAATTAACAATCAGAAATATTTAGATCCATAAACAACTTTTTTCCTTAAAAGATGTGGCCACTTGTATATTCACAAGCCCATTACTGTTAGGACTCTGTATATCGGATACTGAAGAGACTACCATTTTCTGATATTTTGGAGATGGAGAAAAATGACAAAAGAAAAAAAATCATTTGAAATATTAAAGGTGATTAATGATCACAATGATCAGTGTTCATGTCATATCCTCTAAAAGGGAAACCTACTTAAGGAAAGAAAGAATGTGCCTTTAGGATGTAAGTCCACGGCCAACCACAGAGATTCTACCTGTTGGGAACAGTCTGTCTGAGCCTCATTAGAATGACAGTCGTCCTGGGAAGACACCTGCACATTTGTGGGTCTTTGACCATGATGGACTCATTACCTCTGTGCTTTTTCCTGGGGTCTTACCATTCTTTCAAACTTCACCCTCAAAGTTACCTTTCCTTAACCACCCCCCCCCAAATAAAACCTCTCAGTACCAGGCAGAACCCCTGATTTCTGCTTCTGTGGTCCTGCAGCACCTCAGATTTGCCTGGTGAGAGCTTTGTGAGCCAGGATAAGGAACGTGGGCTTTTTTCTTACTGCAGTGGAGAGTAGTAAAAAGGATCGCACCAGTGAACTACCTTACTTCTGTGACGGTCATTCTGAACACAGAGTAGGACCTTTTTTAGCCACTGAGGTGGTGTCAATTCACATGGGGGAAATGTTGGAGGGGGCCTGCCAGGTCATTGGAATTTAAAATTAGAAGTCCTGGAGCAGAGGTGATGCAGTTTGGGACTTGAAGAAAGGTCCACCAGAGTGGCCGTCAAAAGGGAGGGATAGGGCCATGGAGGCATAACACTTTAGTGCCCAGTGCCCAGCTGCTACATTGTGTAAGCCTGCCTTCTGTCCAGATTGACTGATTTCCATCTGACATTTTCCAATCCCCTATAAGAAAGAGAAGAAAAAGCTATTTCAGTCTCTCCAAGCAGGCCTAGAAAAAACGTTGGAATCTGAGAGGAATTTGGCGATTTTACCTATGCTTCTCTTTCAAAGCATAAATCATTGTACTTAGAACCACATAAAGTGGAACAAATAATTTAAGACGTTTTTTCCTTTTTAGTACTTAAAATGACACAGGCAATTCCTTCTTTGTGAGTTGTTCTTCGTGTACTACTGTAATGAGCTATTGTGCTGAAGGTCTTTCCATCAATGACTGGGTGTGTTTCTTTTAAACAGGATACCCGAAGCAGAGGACTGCAGCTCCTCGAAATGGGTTTGTGCCCAAGCCTGACCCACAGGCCCGCGAGGCTGAGCGGCAGCTGGTCCAGCGGCTGAAGGACAGATGTGAGCGACAGGCCCGGCATCTTAGCCTCATTCAAGGGGAGCTGAGGAGAGCCATCTGTGGCTTCGATGCTGTGGCTGTATCCATGCAGTATTTCTTTGGAAAGGTGAGGCCATGTTTGGTGAATGCCGAAGGGGTTCTTGTTGGGGGTATTGAGGAGAGGACAGTGATGGTGACAATGGTTGTGAGTGTGTCGTAGTTTGGATTTGGGATTATGGGTGTCAGACGGTGATATGGAATCTCCTGCAGCATCCTATAATGTTTAGGGAGTTAAGTTTATCCTCACGCATCAATGAAACTGGTCTTGGAAAAATGATGAGTAATCTTGATTCCAAAAGAGAAAAATTATATAAAAAGAAAAAAAAAGGGTACACATAAACATTTTTGGAAATGGGATTTTTGAAGAAAATTAAGTATAGAATTATTTGCATTTTCTAAAGGAGATGGGCATATTCTGAAATGTCTGCTCATTTCACATGACAGAGAGGCAGAGCCACAGCACTACTGCTGGGCTGCCTACACAAGTAGAATGTGCAGGCCTCAGGGGCCCTCATCAGGGCCCTCCTCAGTGTTCAGAAAGGAACATGGGGTGGGCTGGCAGTCCTCCCTGCAGACTTGGGTTTTCTGAAAATGCAGAGACTATTGGTTTCTTCTCAGTGAATGTCTGGCGTTTCTAGGGCCAGGTCTGTTATCAGCCATGGAGCAGTAAGCTTCCCAGCTTCTCACCACTGGACAGAGGATGGTGGCAGCCTGGTGTCTAACTGCATTTGAGCTCTTACTTTAAGTAGCTAAGGTGTGCTTGGCAGCAAAAGTGAGCATTTACCTTAGAGATTAATATTATGAATGTCTTAGGCCATTTTTTTTTTTTAGTCAGGTCTCGCTATGTAGTTCAGGTTGATCTTGAACTCACTAGCCGAGGCTGGCCTCGAACTCCTGGCAATCCTCCTGCCTCAGCCTCCTGCAGGTGGGGATTACAGGCATGCACCACCATGCCCAATTATTAGTCCACTTTTTGTTGCTATAGCAAAACATATGATAATTTTTTTAATTATGAAAAAAACTTATTTGGGGCTCACAGTTCTGAAGGCTGGCAAGTCTAAGAGTACGGGACCAGCGTTCACTTGGCTTCTAGTGAAGACCTTGAGCTGCCTCATATTATGGCAGAAAGCAGAAGGGAAACAAGCACATGCAAATGAGCTAATCTGCTGTGACAACTCACTCTCTCAACAATGAATCTATTCCTATGAAAATTTATGCAATCTGGACAGAAAGACAGGAATCACTTTCAAGGGCTTTACTTCCCAATGTCACTTCGTTGGCAACCAAATTTCAACATGAATTTTGGAGAGAATCAAACCAAATCCATACCATAGCAATGAATGAGGGATTTTGGTTTATATGTGAAACTTCTGATATTTATAAGAAAGAAAAAGTAGAAATATAATTTAAATGTCCTCTAAATAAGAAAGTAAACTACCTAGAGGCCTGGAAAATTTAAAGAAGAAAAAAGAAGATTATTAATTAGCACCATGTCTTCTGGTTTCTTCCTTTATTTATCATCTTTATTCATCAGCCTTGAAGGACAGAGAACTTTTTAGCTTTTGTGATATGTTGTCCTTTCCTGCTCCAATATGGAAGCCTGAGCTACTCTTTTTGTTATCCTTTCTAAAAGCTTTCAATAAAAAGAGTTCTTTATCCATTTGTTGTTGTAAGGGATGATAAGATGAATACATAGCACTAAAATTTCAGTTTCACTAATAGCTTCAACTTCCTTCCCAGCCAAAATTTGAACACCAGCAGTAAATGATGAATTTAGATTTTATATCTTTCTTTCTGGTCTAGTAATGTTAGTGTCAACTATGAGGTACTGAAATGGCCATGAATTAAATGAACATACACATTTTTGAGATGCCAAAGAGGCCTAGCTTGCTGTGTGGTAAATACAGAGCATTTTTCCTTTTAAAGAAGGAGTTAGATGGTTTTAGACCTTCAACTGGATATATATTTTCCAATAACTGTTAAGTCTATAATAAAGAAAATAAAACAGGTTTGCTCATTGAAACACTATGATCTCATTTATATTGTTACTCTGTCTGCTTTAGGATTCTTCCTTCCAGATTTTGTCCACAGAGTCCTATTAAATCCTTGATAAAAGTTTCATGTGGATGGGTGAATCAATAGACACTGATACAAGATATCGGTAATATGTATTATGTTTTATAAGTTGGAGCTTTTGGATACCACTTATGACATCATAACAAGTATGAGAGTTATTGTGCCAAAAATAAGGGCTAGGCCCCACAGTTTTGCACTTCTGTGCCCCAGGAAAGTTCTGTGTTGGCTCATGGACCATGAATTCATTTCTCCGCAGATTGCACATTTCTCTTAAATCAGAAACCAAGTGGGGCCAGCAGATGATTTGTAGCCTTCTCCATTAGACCACACTACGACTTGAGCTGTATTTGGCATGTCTGCAATGTGTATGGGGCGTATGAATTTCACTTGCTTCTCAATAAATCACTACCATCAACTCCAAGGAGACCTCTCAAATGATTGTGGCATTTCACCACCCCTACCATACATTCATTTCTCTATCTTTCTGATTTCTGCTCTATCTCTAGATAAATCTCAGAAGAAAAAGGAGACATAGTTTTTTTCTAAGTCCTAAACTGAGCATAATCAATGGCTTCTACACAGGCTATATTCCACATCACTTTCCAATAATACCAGAGTAGACCAGGAGATGTGACATGGTATGGAACATCTGGAAAAGCAGAGGTAGAGAAGCCTTGAACCTCCAATGATGGAGTCCTCTGAGGATTTGAGGGCTAGGAAGCCTGAAGTGGCCATGTCATTCCTGTGGGAAACATACTGTTATTATATGTGAGATATGCTCAGAGTTGAGCACGACAGCTATGAAGAAGTACAACATCTATAGCCAATTAAAAAATAAAGTCTGTTTTTGTTATCCAGTTACCCACCAGAACTCCATTCTGTAAGGGATCTGCCTGCCTCTTTTGTACATTGCCGTATATGCATCTACAAAGCACAATTGGGCACCATGTGCTAGCAAAAGCAAATGCCACCTCTGCCTTTGCCCAGCAGTGGGTTCTGGAGCAAGTTCATGGCCCTCTGTGATCCCTTCATCATCACCGATAGGAACAAAATCCTTATCTGCCCCTAGTCAAGTCTCTTCTGACCTGTATTGTTCACTTTCAGCTTCCTCCACTTCAAACAGGATTAATGATGCCTCTTCACAAGATTATTATGAGGAGGTGATGAATCAGTGGGCAAGGGTACTTTGAGCAAATAGTCAATAAAATGTTCTTCAAGTGGAAGGGAATCTGGAAAGATCTACCTTAAGGATTCTGTTCTCAAACCAGATGAGGTGAGATATATAAAGGGAACACTTAGTCCAAGCCACTCATATTTCATTATCCATGTTAAGTTCTCTAATCTGAAAATCTGAAATCCAGACTGTTCCAAGTCTGAAACCTTTTGAGTATTGACAAATGGAAAATTCTACGTATGACCTCAAAGGATGGTCACAGGCACACTTTAAATGTATTGTATAAAATTACCTTCTGCCTATATGTGTAGGGGGTAAATAAAACAAATGAATTTCATTTTTAGACTTGGACCCCATCTCCAAAATAAGTCATTATGTAGGTGCAACTATTTTAAAATATGAAAAAAAATTAAAATACACAAAAAATTCAATCCAAAACACTGGTGGTCTCAAACATTTTGAATAAGGGCTACTCAAACTTTATATGTACGTAAAGGGTTTAGCCTGGAGTGTTCTTGAAGAATAGAAATAATTTTTCTAGGCTAGCTCTTCAGTTGCTCTAATTTTTTTCCCTGCTTGTGCTGATGCCTATAAAGTAGAAATAGAATGAAAAAATGGGGAAAAAAGAGAAAGTATTAGAAATAAGTCTCATCCTTGTACTTTTATAAATATATAAACTCAGACAAGAATCTTCAATTTCTGCTCCACACTTACAGTTCCTGTCATGGTGACTGTGAAAGTTGTCAGCTTTGACGTAGCCTCAGCCCAGCTCAGGGACTTTAAAATGCCACCTTGAGATGCAGACACCAGCCTTGGGCTTGAGCCGGCTCCAGGCAACCATGCCCCTGCAGCAAGCCAAGTTCCTCACAGGCTGAACAGACCTGCTGCAGTCCATGGTCCCAGATCTCTAGGTGGTGTAGTAATGAGCGTGACTCTCTGGGACTGGCAGTTCCTCTGGATCGAGTTAAATGATTTGAATCTTTCTCTTGCTACATGGTTCCTGGGAATGCTACTCTTTAGCAACCTCTGGTGGTTTATCCATGAAACAGTCCAGAGAATGGTCCTGCTGTTCAGAGTGGTATGGTTCATCGAACAGCGTGGAGTTTTGTATTAGTGACATGTGAGGGTTATTTATTTTCATTTTATTTTAGTGAAATGCATCCTGTTTGTTATGGTTTAGATCTAAAATGTCCCCCAAAAGTCTCATGTGTGCAGAGGTGAGATTTTCAGAAGGTGATTATGTCATGGTCTTGGGGGCACTATACTTGTCAGTGGATTGAAGGAAGAGGAGGTGATGGCTCAGCATGCTGTGAGGAGGTGAGGTCTGGCTGAAGGAGATGCATCACTGGCGTGTGCCTCCGGAAGGCATAGCTCTTGCTGTGGCTCTTCTCCCCTATCTGCTTCCTGGCTGCCATGGGTTGAATAGCTTCCTTCACCAGGTTCTTCCACCATGCCATTTCTGCCTTGGAGCCAGCAACCAAATTCTGAACCTTCTAAAGCCATAAGCCAAAATAAACCACCCCCTCCTTTAACCCACAGCTGTCAGATATTTGTCCCAGAGACAGAAAAATCACTAATACAATATGTATCTGATACTTTAGGTTTATTTGTTGTCATTGTTATCATTAACTTTATGAATGTGACAGTACATGATGACTTTTGCTTTTTAGTTATTTTTAGTTTAGACAGAAAAGAGATGAAAATTAATGTCAAACAGGCCGAGGATTTAGCTCAGTGGTTCTGCCGCCTGCCTGCAAGTGCAAGGACCCAAGTTCGATCCCTAGTACCAAAAAGAAAATTAATGTCAAACATATCTG